GTAACTATCAGAGGAGATGTTGGACTGAAACTACCGGTTACTATCAGAGGAGATGTTGGACTAAACCTACCGGTAACTATCAGAGGAGATGTTGGACCCGAAACTACCGGTTACTATCAGAGGAGATGTTGGACTAAACCTACCGGTAACTATCAGAGGAGATGTTGGACCCGAAACTACCGGTAACTATCAGAGGAGATGTTGGACTAAACCTACCGGTACCTATCAGAGGAGATGTTGGACTAAACCTACTATCAGAGGAGACGTTGGACTAAACCAACCAGTAACTATCAGAGAAGATGTTGGACTAAAACTACCGGTAACTATCAGAGGAGATGTTGTACTAGACCTACTGGTAACTATCAGAGGAGATGTTGGACTAAACCTACCGGTATCTATCAGAGGAGATGTTGGACTAAACCTACCAGTAACTATCAGAGGAGATGTTCTTAGAAAGATTCTTAGGAGAAGCTGAAAACATAATCAGTTAGATATAATTCATGTACATGCATGCTAGTCACAACAAGTGAACTAATAGGTCTTAATCTGAAGATAAAAATTCTATACAATGTTTTTCATTGAAATAACACATAGTTCTTTACTCACCTAAATTTTTATACAGCAACAATTGCTTCTCAACTTCCTCCTACAAAAGGTAAATAATAAGACAATACACTAGACAATGGTCCATTTAGTCATCATTGAGGTTTGTGGGATTTGCGCAGTAAAAATCCTGAAAACCTTATACGTGTATATAAAAGTATCAACTGAAATTTGAACAAGAGTACCGCGGGGCGGAACAATATACGCCCGTCGAATGCCATATAGTGTTTTATACTTTCTTACATTGAAATAAGATCTGCATCATTCTAAGAGTGGTTAGCTGACATGAGGCCCAATGGGCCTGATTTGCTCACCTGGTATTAATCTCATGCTTGTTATCTTAAAAGTGGACTAACATACAGCTACAGGCAAAATATCTGTGTTCGATCCATTTGAATCTATTAAATGATTTAAACATACGACGCATTTGACCTTGATAGTTTATACTGTAGCCTTCCGTCCCGGCATACTTCTGGCTAAATATCAATACCCTGGACCTTTTGAACATTCAGAACAAGTCATTTAAAGATTTAAACATATTTGATCCCTGTGACCTTAAATATGAGCAAAGGTCATTCATTTGAACAAACTTGGTAGCCCTTCATCCTAGCATCATCATCCAAGGCCTTTTGGTTATTGAGAAGAAGTTGTTTAAAGATTTTAAACATATTTGACCCCTGTGACCTTGAAAATAGATGAAGGTAATTCATTTGAATAAACTTGTTAGCCCTTTATTCCATCATGTTCAGGGCTCACGCTGTCGGTAGCCAAAGTAGCCATTGGCTACTTTTATTTTTTATTGGCTACTAAAAATTCGATGTGGCTACTAAATTGATTACTAAGTTTTTAAAAATGGGGAAACTCTGTATCTCTGTCGCAGAAAACGATCCGTCTACTCGAGCTCACGTGTGTATTGTGGCTGACACTGATTGCGTAAACATGATCAGGGCCGTCACAGATCAGCGCGCGCTGTACGACTGCGAGTTAATTAATGCTTTTGTCTAAGTTGTAAAGTCGATTATTAAGCTTCAGATGGCAAAAGGTGTTATAATTCTTATACAATAATTATGGACAGTGGGGTCAAGTTAATTGGATGACCCTTTGACGTTGAGAAAACAGTCTGATAAGTGAGTCACACATAGGTGGTCTCGCACACGTACATTTGACGGCGCCGTAAGCCGATCGGATAAACTCGTTCAAACACCGCATCCAACAAATTTACGGGTTCAGTATATCTAAATTAGTGTACATGGTATTAATTTACCTTTTCCAGTACCGTAGTAAGCACAAATACGTCCGATATGCTTGATTAGAAAGTATAAGTATCGCCTTGAAACACCATGTCGAAGTGCCGATTTTCGGCCTTTCAGTTTCAGATAACTTCAAACGATAGGCCCTATATCGTATCTGACTGTGTACTTTCGTGGTTAGACGTTTTAGAATTTCAAGTGATCGAGAAAAGTTATTTAGCATCGCAGTTATGCAGTTTTTAGAACAGCAAACCGTTCAGAATTACTTCGACGGTCGCTTATATTAGGTGCCAATCGACGACACGTGCACGGGAATGGCCAAGTTGCGCGACGTGATGTGCTCCCGATTTATTTCGAAGGGTTGGTCAATACCGTTATAAATTCGTCCTTTTCCTTTCAAATGTGTTCTACTGCCATTTACATTTGAAATGTGTGATCTTTTTAAATATATTTATATATNTGAGATAAAGGCTGATTTTTCTCTCTTTTGAAAATATAAATAAAAAAGTTCTGGTGGAAATTTTCAGCATTTTAATTTAAGATATATTTTCTTAAAATTACAGCCATGTAATCTGAAAGGATTAAAAAAATATCACATTATGGATTAAATTATAAACATCATGTATAACACTTTTTTTTAATTTAACAGAGTACTCCTTAATTTAACATCATATTGAATAGTATTGCACTTCATTTTTTTTTATAAATATTTAATGATTTTAATGGAGGGCCTATCCGTAACGGTTGGGGGCCGAGAAAGTATGGCCACTGTTTAAAAAAATATTGGCTACTGAAATTCAAACATGGCTACTTTTTTGGCTACTGATTTTTTAGGTCCAGGGTGAGCCCTGATGTTACTGGCCAAATATCATTGTTCTAGGCCTCTTGGATATTCAGGAGAAGTTGTGACCCCTGTGACCTTGAAAATAGGTAAAGGTCTTTTATTTGAACAAACTTGGTAGCCCTTCATCCCAGTTTGCTTCTGGCAAAATATCATCACTCTAGGCCTTTCTGTTATCAAGAAGAAGTCATTTAAAGTAAAATATTGATGCCTGACGGACGGACGGACACCACGGCATAAGCTCACTTGGCACTGAGCTAAAAATGTAGGAGAAAATCTCTGGACAAAAAATCAAATACCGTAAAAACCCATGTAATTTGCGCACCTGTGTAATTTGCGCAGGTACTTTTTGAGGCTGAAAATCGGGAAAAAAGGTTCTACTCGAATATTTTGCGCACCCAAAAAATCTGGAAAAAAAAAACATGTTCATGCTCCGAAAATCGATCTCTGAATATATATTTTTTTTAATATATTTCTATGATTTTTTTTTTCATAGATGTAAAATGATATTTAAAACCAAGAAGAAACTACGTAAAATGTGTATTTTGTTGCTTGTTTCTTTGAAATTATCTGATCACACACGTGTGCGCATATCGGCATACATCAATTCATTTTAGCAATATTTTACATAAAACATTTACTTGCTTACAAAAACATATCAATTAATAAGTAATTCGATGTTTATTAACCGCTGGTGCATATCTCCTGGTGAAAGACATAATTAGATACCTTTTATTGATCATAATTACGATCAGTGAGAAGGGCTCATCATGGCGGCTTGGGTTACGTCACTTCAAACCAGGTCATGTCACAGTTCAGTTTGGCCACGGAATTAGATTATCTAAGTCCGTGGTTTGGCGATATTTTTTTACAAATTACAATGCAGTAATGAGCTAACACTATCTCTGTGATTACCCGTTAACAATAGCTCTACTAATTGAAATGATTTGCAGTCGCGATCGACGGACCGTGTTGTTGTTTTTTTCACTCGCCAACACGTGGCGTGAATTACGAAGCCCTACTGCATTGTCATAACTACAGACTGATTTGACTGATAAGGGATTATAAAAAATATGTTTATACTAGAAGCGTGGACAATCAATACATCCTCTTCAAATCTACTCCAAGGAAAAAAATAGTTAACGCAGACTATTTTTACGATGCTTCATTTAATAAATATTGAAATAATTCACGAGGTTATTATCAATCACGTGTTTACGTAATGTTAGACGCGAGATCAACATGAAAGTGAGCCGGAAAAAAACCATGCTATACGTATACGCATAGGCGATTTGAAAAAACTTACAGAACTTACATAGAACGGAGCTTAAATTGAACAACTACATTTTCGTAATAGTATGGGGAAACGCACCGAGATGTCGAAACGTAATGTCGTAAGTTGATCGGCGATTCTCTGGCATAGGAATTTGGCTAAACTTTTTTTGTTAACGGTTACCTATTTATTAATACTTTTCACATGAACTCACATAACAACACATTATGTAACTTTTATTAATGTTTGACATAAATAAATTTGTTGACCGTCATTTGTCTTCGAGTTCCGTGTACCAAGGGACATAATCGAAGATGGCGATCTCTCAGAATCGTCGATCTTTTCCCGAAAAAAACTTGAATTTTTCTATACCTGTGTATTTTACGCACCCCCCACTTTGGGTATTAAATTTCTGAAAAAAAAGTGCGCAAATTACATGGGTTTTTACGGTACGGAAATGAACAAAGGGGAATAACTTTTGCAAAAATCGTCGAATCAAAAAAATCTTTTAAGGGAGACACAACTTCATATGATGATGATAATGTATACCAAGTTTCAAAGAGATCCGTTGAAAAATGTAGGAGGAGATTGCCGGACAAAAATCAATTACTGAAATAAACAAAGGCCAATTACTTTTGCAAATATTGTCGTATCAAAATTCGTTTAAGTGAGACACAACTTCATATCATGATTATAATAATGTATACCAAGTTTCAAAGAGATCGGTTGAAAAATGTAGGAGATTGCCGGACAAACAAAAGTTTAGGCGGGACGGACGGACGGACGGACGGACAAACCCATACCATAATTATCCCGTCAATTTGACAGGCGCATAAAAAGTGAAAATAGATTCTTTTCATCCTAATTTCACTTGTTATTTCATCAAACTCTGTTAGATAAAATTAATGTTTCTTATAACTTGCATACATGTATATAAAGGTAATCCCTAACAGCTGTCTCACCATTTTGAGACCAGTTGCTGGTAGAGCTTTCTGGTACCCATCCACACTCTTATGGAAGCTGGCCTCCATATCAGACAGCATTTTGTTCTTCTCCTCAGCAATCTTCCTTTTAACAATAGGGATCATCTTCAGGTAGCGGAAGAAGCTGCTCTTTGTCCTGTTCTTCAGTGCTTTGATGCAATTAACAAAACAGAATACATTCTCAATTGAAAACAAATTAACCATTAATTACATTTTTCTGGTCACACTACAGAATCTGGAAACCTACAGTACTTATCTGACCAAAACAATAATTGTAACATTTAAATAAGAGGTTACTTCTGATGTCCAATGTGACAATGTGACAGCTGTTACAACATCTGACACATGTACCAGACCTACAATGACACTTACAGAGCAGGTTATAACTCCAAAGCCAGTTACATGTATCTAAAGGTAAGAACTCCAAGGCCAAGTTATATAATACTATTTGATGTTGAGAACTTTAGAAACCAGTTATATTAAAATATTTACTGGACAGGTGATGAGAACCATAGGGCCCAGTTATGTTACACTATTTAAGATTGAGAATTTCAGGGCCCAGTTATGTTACACTATTTAAGATTGAGAATTTCAGGGCCCAGTTATATTACACTATTTAAGAATGAGAATTTCAGGGCCCAGTTATATTACAATATTTAAGATTGAGAATTTCAGGGCCCAGTAATATTACAGTATTTCAGATTAAGAATTTCAGGGCCCAGTAATATTACAGTATTTCAGATTGAGAATTTCAGGGCCCAGTTATATTACAGTATTTAAGATTGAGAATTTCAGGGCCCAGTTATATTACAATATTTAAGGTTAAGAATTTCAGGGCCCAGTTATAATATTACACTATTTTAAGGTAAGAATTTTAGGGCCAATCTATATTATACTACTGATGAAAATGTTCGGATCTAGTTATACTGCACTATTTACTGGTGAAAACTCTAGGACCCAGTTATATTACATTTTTTACTGATGTTAAATTTAGGACCCAGTTATATTACACTATTTACAGGTGAAAACTCTAGGACCCAGTAATATTACACTATGTACTGGTGAAAACTCTAGGACCCAGTTATATTACACTATTTACAGGTGAAAAATCTAGGACCCAGTTATATTACACTATTTACTGGTGAAAACTCTAGGACCCAGTTTAATTACACTATTTATTGGTGAAAACTCTAGGACCCAGTTATATTACACTATTTACTGGTGAAAACTCTAGGACCCAGTTATATTACACTATTTATTGGTGAAAACTCTAGGACCCAGTTATATTACACTATTTACTGGTGAAAACTCTAGGACCCAGTTATATTACACTATGTACTAGTGAACACTCTAGAACCCAGTTATATTACACTATTTATTGGTGAAAATAGACTCTAGGACCCAGTTATATTACATATTAACTGGAGAGTATAGACATCTCCTTCTGCTGTTCCTTAAATAAAAGGTTATTAAGATTATTGACAATGTTTTGACTCATCAATTTCTGGATAGCAATGATTTAAGGTTGGACTCACTTTGCTCTTCGTTAAAAAGGATGTTTTTGACTGTGACAAAGACCAGTGTGCCGCCACATGTGTAGACCACCACCTGCCATGGCTCTAGCCCGGCACACAGACTGTTGATCTTATCCTTCACCACATCAAGGTACGGCGTAACCTGCCCCTACAATGAAACACATCGAGATGTACAACAAACACTGTCAAAAATCATCTTGGTACTTAATTTGAATTTAGAGATTTTGTTTTTATTCAAATTTGCTACATTTTTGGTAGTGCTAATTACAAGACATTATTTACATTATACATGTTATATAAAATAAAATAACTTATATTAATACTTATCCAATCAGTTTTTTTGTAATTACAAATGTACCTAGCTAGGAAGTCCCAGAAAATCTAATACTCCCTGCCTCCTCTGAAGAACAAGTGGCTCAGAGGGCCTGTATCACTCACCTTGATATTCAAGTCATCATGAATGTATGGTTATAGGATCTTCACCATTTTCAAGTTATGACCCAATATCTCACATTTGACCCTGTCACTCTGCCCCCAAGAGAGTTGGAGGTGGAGAGGGTGCACACCAACTTTTTATAGTGTTGACTTGAGTCCCCTTGACAGGATGCACTACACAAAATTTTGCTAAAATCCCTTCATCCATATTGAAGGAAAAGGATTAACCTTCCTTTCCTCTATTGGGCATTGGTCATCTTCTCCCACAGTGACCACACTCTCAGTTTATACAACAAGTTCCCAAAGAAGTCCTAGGCCATAGGCTTGATCAAATTTGCAAAGGAGAAAGATTTTACAATTTCTACTCTCAACTTCTATTTCAGGGCTTCCAGTTGACCCTTGACATTTAGAAATTCAAAAGTTAAAAAGAATTTTCTCTAAGTTTTGGAAATACAAAACATGTCAAATAGACTTTTCCTTTTAGACCAAAGAGTCAAAGCTTACGTTCATTTTGGGGAGTCAAGAAGATACTCTCAATGGTCTTCTGAAAGGCCTGTATTTTCCCCTTTGAAATGCATAATTAGATGTACTATGTTAAACCCTTGATCAGAAAAGGAAACTCTGCCTACAACATTCACAAGCACAATATATGTAACTATCTAGTATTTACCCATGATAACCTGGAAACTGATACCTTATATATAACTGTTATCAGGTATAAATCAGATAACATTTATCAGCTACATTAAACTTATACAAATACATATCATGTCATAGATCTAGACTCTAGAGCAAATGTGTTATGGCAGACAAAATAAATTTATCGGAGTTCATTAAGTGTAACTTATAACTGTGTATGATAATGGTCTGATACTGGGTACATGTCAGTGTATAATGCAACAGGAAAGGAAATGCATAACCAGACTTGGATTTGAACCAAGACCCTCTGAAATCTAGATATATGCTATAACCAGTTGAGCTACCTCGTAGCTGGCAATTGACTCAGTCCAGTTACTCCACATGTACATATATATACATGACAACCTAAACTTGTCCACATTGTTGGAATTACTTCTTTGTCCCATATATATACATAACATGTATACACACACAGTTATACCATGGCCAGGTACTTGTCATAAACTTAAACAAATTGTACATCTACGATTGGCAGCTTGAACTTGACTTGCAAATATCAGATACTTTTATACTGAAACAAATTGTACTTGTACAGGTAGCATGCATTCAACCCTACAAATATCTGATACTTTTAGGCTGTAAAACAAAACCACCACCAGGTACTTGCATCTGTAACAGGAGAAAGAGAATTGAAATGGCCTGACCGGGGAACAAACCCAGGACCCTCCAAACTCTAGACGGACGCTCTAAGCAGTTGAACTACCTGGTCGCCGGTGATCAACCCAGTTCAGTTCCACCACATTCCTCCCTCCTTTAATAAAGTCTTTGACCCAGAAGACACAAGAGACCCTATCCCACCTTCTGGGGGTGTATTTTGTTGGGCACCAAATTTGTAAAAGGAGAAAGAGAAATGTAACGGCCAGACCGTGGTTCGAACCCGGAACCCTCCGAACTCTAGACGGACGCTCTAACCAATTGAGCCACCTGGTCGCTGGCCATGCCATCAACCCAGTCCAGTTCTGCCACACATCTTTAACTTACTAGTAGCAATCAACCCTACGAATTTCAGATACAAACTTCACATGTACCAGTCTATACTTTTGTATACAAGCAAACAAACAGTTAACTGTACACTCATTTTTAATACCTTTTGTCCCAAATATGAAAAGTTTGTACATTTGTTTTATTAATACTGAAAACATTTATGTATTGATAGTTATGATTTTCTTCCCGATACATTCCAAAAATTTTTGCCATAACAAAATCACACAAAATTTACTGTCTGTGTTAAAAATAGAGGGCCACCGATATCATATGCTCTACTGTATAATTTTAGCATATCTAATTTGAATTGTTGTCCTGTTTTTATATTTTTTATATATTCATAAGTAATGTGATCCTTGTTAAATTTATATATGTTTTGTCGCAAGAATAGCACTACAGTGCTAATGTTATTATGTTACATGTATAATAGTCCAAATTATTCTGACATTTTATCAACTTTTTTTATATCGGTCTGTCTTCGATTAACGTCAGAACTCCAGCCCTCTGTAATATGCGTGAAATAAGCGACCCTGCCCGGGTCGCACTTTAAACTGATATTTTAGAAACAAATTGTCACTTTCACACACATGTCGCAAATGGATTGAAAGATCTATTCTTTATGCACTAGATGGTATCAATAACATGTTTCAAAGATCATTACGAAAAGTATTTTCCAACGTTTTCTATACCAACCCATGTTTTTAATGGATATTAGGGCATGAGCAATGTCACATGACTTGACGAGATCTCGCGTTACCGAAGGTATTTCCCAACGTTATGACGTAGGCAGTTGTGATTTGAGTCACGTGGCATTAGAAGGCGGGGCTATAAAAAAAACTAGAGTAAAACAGAGTAAGTTTGAAAAAATATGTTTTTAGTGATTGTATTGGTTGTTTGAGGCATGTAATTTATGTTCATCTTGTGCATAAAGAATAGATCTTTCGATCCATGTGCGACATGTGTGTGAAAGTGACGATTTGTTTCTAAAATATCAGTATGAAGTGCGACCCGGGTGCGGGTTGTTTATTTCCCGCATATTATAGAGGGCCGGAGTCCGGACGTTAATCGACGACAGACCAATATAAAAAAAGTCGTTAAAACGTCAGAATAATTCGGACTACATGTATATGCGACGTTAAATAAAGCTTCTTGACTATTGACTCTTGACCGAAACTGGGCACATAATGGCAACATTCAATGACAGGACTGACTTTAATATAAGTATTACTGAACAGTAAAATTGATTGCTAACTGATTGTCTAGGTAGAATTATCGATTACACATTACTGGTTAACAACGTGAAGCACCTTTCTTTTTAATTTTGTTCTACTGCAGTAATCTATTTATTGATGCAATATTTCCATCTGAGGACTGTTATTTGTCCGAAACTGGTCAATCAACGCTTTCATCCTATGATCTAACTGTTATCATGAATGAGACATCAGTAAAATTACCCGTCACGGGCAGTGGCTGTTCTGGTTCAACACACGCTACTGACTATTGACCATCAACAGTGTTAGTTGCCTCTGTCACCAAATGTCTCTTTATTGGAGCTCGAGCTGCGATCATGTTTACGCAACGTGTTTGACACAGTGATAAATTGTCAATTGCAGTAGTATAAACAGTCGTACATTAGTCGCACGATACACACATATAGGCATACTGATTGATAACAGTTAAAACATTTAGTTTCAACCAATCATAGATCTAAATCGATATGAAATATTAAAACAGTCATCACTTACCGTCACTACGTCCAGTACTTTCGCCATTTTAATTCTCGTGTTATACCGCCAGTCACATGATTTTTGACGCGAGAAACGATGAAGTGGAAAAAACGACGCAAGGGTATTTGTTCCGGAATGTCGAAAAAAGGCTATGCGACAAGTCGAAAAGATAGTTTGTTCATTACATGAGACGTTTTATCATTTTAAAAATTTGTCATAAAATAACGAAATTGTACAGTACCAAACAATAACATTTTGTTTTTTTCGACGATACATTAACCATGCCCAAGATAAATCGCAAGTGTCTTACGTAGGCTAACAGTTTTTGTACACGTTTTTGGAACATGATATATGGACCACAGGGACCTGAGAATTTGTTACAGCTATATTTTGACCTAAATAAGGTGTTCAGAGTAATTTTACATGTTTTAGGGGTTTATATCGACTTTCGGTAAAAATGACACCCCAAATGATCATCATATTAGCTGTAACCAATTCGATCTCAGGTCCCTGTGATATGGACAGGGGAAATGGATGTTGGAGAACAGAAGAAACGCACCGACACGTTGTTAGACCTAGGTTCTTTATTTAACAAAATTAATGATTTCATTTCACAGAACCGCAAATCTAATATATACTAGCTGTCACTAAATTAAACGTGAATTTTATACGGTACCCTTTTTAATGCTGGCAGTTTCTTCGTTTGCAAGCACTTTAACTGTAGAAAGAGTGTTTACTCCAGGATTTACTCTCACTTTGGCTCTCTATACCGATGGAATATGTCATAGCAAAATTAAAGGTACGCGGCTTGCTATTTGATTGGTCTCAGGTGGGAAAAAAACCTGACCAATCGAAGGCTAATACGGTATGTCAGTCGAAAATTATACAGGAACAACAGCCGACTTCAAAGACAAACAATGTTACCGTTACGCGATGTTTAAATGAACATCAACTATGAACTAGTCTTCTTGTCTCATCAACAAGGCGGCGCACACTGAGACTTCAATTTTGTCATGACATATTCCAGGGGTGGAGAGAGCGAAAGTGGGTGTTACTCCTTGCGTATCGAGGATGACTTTTCGTAAGACGTAGTGTTTCAGAAGGATAAGCGTCTTCTGCCTCATCGACGACAGCCGTGGTATAAATCTTGGTCAATCTAACTTTAAATACTGCCACGTCCTTATTAAAGCGAGAGTTCGGGTAGTGACAGGAAAACGTTAAGGATACACAATTAAGCATAAGCATTACCTTCATGTCACATATATTTGCATACCTCTCTTTTTCAGCTTATACGTCCTTAAATGACCTTAGCTGTTAATAGGACGTTAAACAAAATTAAACAAAATCTTCAGCTTAGTAAAGTCTGACTACTTATATATTAGCTAATATGCATCATAGTTAGAATATGTTCGTTTCAAGCTGCGTTCATTCTACCGTTTAAGGAAATAGCATAGTTCCACATGAATAATAATGATAACGATGGCGATCATAAAATGTGCCAGTAGTGTTCCCCAACCTGGAACGCACTGTTTAGCTATGGTACCTGTTGTATATACCTATATGACAGATGAACGCACTGTCTAGCTATGGTATTTGTTGTATATACCTTTATGACAGATGAACGCACTGTCTAGCTATGGTATTTGTTGTATATACCTTTATGACAGATGAACTCACTGTCTAGCTATTGTACCTGTTGTATATACCTTTATGACAGATGAACGCACTGTTTAGCTATGGTACCTGTTGTGTATACCTTTATGACAATTGAACGCACTGTTTAGCTATGGTACCTGTTGTATATACCTTTAAGACAGATGAACGCACTGTTTAGCTATGGTGCCTGTTGTATATACCTTTATGACGGATGAACGCACTGTTTAGCTATGGTACGTGTTGTATATACCTTTATGACAGACGAAAGCACTGGTTAGCTATGGTACCTGTTGTGTATACGTGTATGACAATTGAACGCACTGTTTAGCTACGGTACCTGTTGTATATACCTTTAAGACAGATGAACGCACTGTTTAGCTGTGGTCCCTGTTGTATATACCTTTATGACAATTGAACGCACTGTTTAGCTACGGTACCTGTTGTATATACCTTTAAGACAGATGAACGCACTGTTTAGCTTTAGTACCTGTTGTATATACCTTTATGACAGCTGAACGCACTGTTTAGCTATGGTTCCTGTCGTATATTCCTTTATGACAGATGAGCGCACTGTTTAGCTATGGTACCTTTTGTATATTCCTTTATGACAGATGAACGCCCTGTTTATCTATTGTACCTGTTGTATATACCTTTATGAAAGATGAACGCACTGTCTAGCTATTGTACCTGTTGTATATACCTTTATGAAAGATGAACGCACTGTCTAGCTATGGTATTTGTTGTATATACCTTTATGACAGCTGAACGCACTGTTTAGCTATGGTCCATGTTGTATATACCTTTATGACAGACGAAAGCACTGGTTAGCTATGGTACCTGTTGTGTATACCTTTATGACAGATGAACGCACTGTCTAGCTATGGTACCTGTTGTATATACCTTTATTACAGATGAAGCCACGGATGGCTTTTATTTACGCAATTCGTTCTGGTTACACGCTACACTAAGAAAATAATCATATCGTTAATTCGTTCTTCTCCTCTTCTGCTAGTGTGCAATCAATTCTGATGATTTTCACTAGGATTTTTTTTATTATCATTATATACAGTGTATGATAACAAATTAAAAATATGGGTGATTTAGAATGCTGAGAGGTAGGACATTGTGACGGCTTTGCAAAGCATCAACAGTGTTCATAAAAGAATGAGGAAGTAAATTATATTGTGTAATATAGGCTGTGATGTAGATTATATTGTGTAATATAGGCTGTGATGTAGATTATATTGTGGTATATAGGCTGTGATGTAGATTATACTGTGGTATATAGGCTGTGTTGTAGATTATATTGTGGTATTTAGGCTGTGATGTAGATTATATTGTGGTAAATAGGCTGTGATGTAGATTATATTGTGGTATATAGGCTGTGATGACTTGAGCACAGCATAAGAAGATTTTAATGGATGGGACTGCTACATTTATAGCGATTGAACGTGGGTTGCAGCGCAAATGTAAATATATTGTTGTGGGAGTTGAAAATGTCCTGTTCTTCAATAATGACATCTTTCAAGTCAGATGCTAGCTGTTTGGAATTCCTGCCATGGTGTTGTTTCTACCACTGGTGACAACATATCTGCTACAGATCGTGGTAGGCCGCTATAGGCGCGGGAACGTGTCCATGTTTTTGGATTTCGGGGTGTAATCTAGGGATGTTTTCTGATGTCGGGTATAGGAAATTGTATTGCTGATCTGTGATGCGTGAGTCATCTCTTATCTTGGTCAAGAGTTCTATCATCTCTTTTTTTATATTTTGGGGTTGGGTCTTTCTGGAGAACTTCATATGCTGTGCTATGACTTAACTTTCTTTTCGCATCCTGTTTGTCTAAAACTATGTGTAGCCCTAGACCCTTGCCTGCCGGCAAAATCACAATCGAATTTTCTTTCCCGAGTTCTCTGAAAGCTTTGTTTTTTCCTCTCTTGTAAAATTTGATGTTGGTGCTTTTGCATTCTTTAAAATGCCAACATATGACATCTGACCGTGTCTTTTAACAGGCTAATTCAGTAGGCGTGAAACATACAATTTCGTCACATAGTTGTACAGGTCATAGCTGTACAAAGGGACCAGTCGGCCTTGAAACGTTGCGACACATTTAAGATGTACATTTTTTATGTCAAAGTAAAAGTTTGATTATAAATTTCCAAACTGATGATAACAACGGATATTAATTTGTGAACCGCTCTGATGCGGTTTATCACATAATGTACTGTGTTATCCAGCGAATATACACATGTCATATTTGTTTGCGTATTAACCCATGTAATATGACCTATCAGCCCTGTGATTGGTTGTATAAGTTTCAATTGTTTCAATTGTGACGTCACGCATAGGACACGTACATGGAGTCACAGACTTACGCACTTGAGTCAAAATGGCGGCTTTTTACATTTCAAAGTTGCATGAAAATTGTCGTTTTACACGAATACATGCCACAAAACTTGATTATGTGATAAAAAGGATCTTACACTTGTTTTCATTTCATATGAAATTTGTGAAACTCGTCACGATATTTTCCTTTTAGCTCGCCAGAGAAATTCTTAGACTTTTTTCATAAATCTCATTTGAAATGGAAACTCATGTAAGATCCTATATATATAAGAACCTCGAATTCTTCTTCTTCTTCCTAGTGAAGTGCTGGCCTCATCTCTGAGGGTATTTAGCACTGGCGCAGCTCAAGGAGGCTAAACACCTTTAAGGCGTTATTTAAAATTAAAATCGAATAAAAAATGTCCTTCTACTGCCTACTGGGGCATGCAGCTTGGATGGAATTCAGCTACATGCGGAAGGTTTCGATGGTTGTGGCCTCACTGGCTGATGGTGGTAGTAGCCTGTTCCAGTCACCGATGGCTCTCGGGTAGAATGAGTATTTGTTTACATCTCTGTCTGTTGATGGTACTTGGAATTTCAATACTCCCCTCTTTCTGCTGTCCCCTGGTGTTAGTTGGTTATCAGCATTGTCTATGAGATCATGCACGATCTTGAAAAACATGATCAGCCTGAATGTTCTGCGGGGTTCCTCGAGGGTTTCCCACTGAAGATGGTGTATCATTTTGGTCACGCATCCTGGGGATCTAGTCTTATAGTCCCTGGTGACGAATCTCGCAGCTCTCCTTTGCATTCCCTCAAGTTGCCCTATCAGGTTCTGATGATGGGCTCCCATACGGTACTGGCATATTCAATGGTGGGCCGGACCATGGTTTAGTAGTCTATTGTTTTCACTTGAGGTTTGCATTGACGCAGGTTCCTCTGTATAAAGCCTAGGGTCTTATTGACCTTGGTCCTGATGTTGCCTATATGCTCTCCCCACCTCAGCTGATGGTTAATAGTGAAACCTATGTACTTTGCGCTGCTCACCGACTCGAGTATGTGGCCATGAAGTTGGTTATTGTGTTTGATGGGATGCCTCTTGCTGGTGACGTGGATGACTGTACATTTTTGGGGGTGGAACTCCATCTGCCACTGCTGCTCCCAATTCGTAATGCTGCATCTGACAGATTGACGTGCTGAGTTCTCCCAGATAGGAAACCCTGGATCCATTGCTGTTTGGTTCCTCGTACCCCATACTAATCTAATTTGTGTAACTGTCTCCGATGAGGTACTTTGTCAAAAGATTTGGAGAAGTCAAGTAAGATGGTATCTACTTGCTCTACCTTAGCGATGGTCTTGGCTATGCTGTCTGCTGTAATTATAAGTTGGGATTCACATGAATGATGATCGTCTGGTTCTGAATCCGTGTTGTTGGTCTGCAAGTATCCCAAGTTGGTCATAAAGATCCAATATCTGGCTATTGATGATGTGTTCTAACTCCTTGCAGGTAACCGATGTGAGAGAGACGGGTCTATAATTTGCTGCTTGATATCTGTTCCCCTTCTTAAAGATAGGAACAATGGCGGCGTCCCTCGAGTCGTCTGGACTTTTACATGTGTCGAGTGATCTTTAGAAGATGTGGGTGAGAGTTGTTAACAGTTCCTCTGAGAAGTCATGCAGGGAACGTGTTGAAATGTTGTCAGGGCCCGTAGCTTTGTTGACATTTAAACCCTTCAGTTACTTCATTGTACCTTTCACCCGACTTTGGTCTTTGGCATGTCGGGATGTGGGCTCGGACCTTTAGATGGCATGCTGGCTGTTTTTCTCTAGTATATTTCTGCATTGGTGGATGTCTCACTGCAGAGGATGCCGTCCTTGTTTTTCAAGGGGGCTATACCACTCGAGTCCTGTTTTTTGTGCTTGATGTAGGACCAAAACCGTTTTGAATTTTCTTTCATGTCCCCAGTTACGATGTCATTTATGTAGCGGTCGTGTTCTTGCCTGATTTTCCTTTGGCTGTCTGATTTAAGATTTTTGTATCTCTCACAATCTCCTGCACGTTGTGTTCTTCTAGCTTTCCTATGTGCTTTGTTTTTCATCCGAGTGAGTTTTTTTTATGTCTCTATTAATCCATGAGTGAGTATCTTTACTAGATGTCTATTTTGTTGGTACATGCTCTTTTATTATGTTTGTTATACTACTCGTAAATTTGTTCCAAATATAGTTTATATCACTTTCATCTCCCGAGATCTCCTTTTGCATATTTAAGAGCTCTGATCTGATGGCATCTTGGTTGGCATTTTCCAGGGGGAGATAACCCGCCGGGTCTTCCTAACTCTCAGTGGTTTGATGTTAGAGTTACACAGAACGATGTCATAATCGGATTTACCCAATGGGGGTAGAGGTTTTACTCGATTTACTAATGATGGGTGAGAGGTGAAGAGGAAGTCCAGTGTGTTACCCTTCCTGGTACTAAACTCTACTAACTGGGCAAGGCTAAGATCAAGGCTAGTATTTATCTTATTGAGGATATTGGACAATAAGCATATGTTTAGAGATGTATTCAATTCAAAATATTTTATTATTAATACAAAGATAAATACTAGTATTACATAAGAAATATAATAGTACATGTTTAACAAAGGGATAAGACAACAGGCTAAGCATATATAAGTCTTTTCCAATGGATAACAGGTATCCAATTATTTTGATTTCATTAATGTATTACAGTTATGGGAGGTTAACCTTACCATTGCCCCGGGAAAATTCTCATTTCATTAATTTATTTTTTGTTCCATTTGCAAAGTAAAACAAAGCTCGTGTTGCATCATATTTTTGAAAAGTGTTCCATTTTAGGTATTGTTCCATTTTGGGCCTAACCCTCACCTTTGGTTAATAAAACCATAACAGTTAAATATGTACTAGACTTCTCTGACTAAACTCTTTTTTTTTGAAATTTTAAGCTATCAAACATGAAAATTGAATATTCACTAGATCTTGGAACCTTTAGTGGCATGTAAAAGTATAAAGAGGTCATTTTCGACGAGCGCGTATAATTCCGGAAGACTCCGTGACCGGTATTGCTCCGTGAATTAGTGCCGACTACAAATTTCAATATGGAGGAAAATGGTAATGATTTTATTACAACTCGGCTTTTTTGTAGTACGCAAAATGAGGTATTGTGATGAATATATTTCAACGTGTGTGTATTCATTATTTAAATTTTATGCCCATTGTGTACTCGGATCATTGACCGAAGTAATAGTTTTAAGTACAATGTAAACAACTGAAAAAAATACCGATGCCGACAAAGAGACTTCTGTCACTAATTTCCGAAACTCCCCCTTCATAGATGCATGCTATTCCGATGTAAACATATACGCTTGAATCTATAGCAATATCACAAGTACATTTGATTCACCAGGGAGTAATAGCTTGAATAGAATGCATGCCTGTTGAACTTCGTGCGTTCGATGGGATGTTTACCTGTAATATTTTCAGTTTGTGCAGTTTGATGTTAGTAGAGAAATCTGGAATATTTAGATATCTATAAATGTGCATTCATGTAAAATATATTTTTAAATCATCTATTGACTAATAGTGTTATGGAGGATCCACACTCTAATCCAAATAAAGAGCAATAAACAGGTAATTTGCGTCATAAAGAGTTAACAATGTACATGTACTGTACAGGTACCTGTATACAACCATAGCTGTTATAATTGGGTTAGTCTACTTCCGTAAAATTTTGAGCCAAGTAATATTAATTCACTAACAGGTTCCTTGTTTCTGTAGCACACAACTGTCAGGTCCGGTGAGGACATTTCCATAATTTCCTTTTCTCTATAATTAGATATTTGAGGCATATTTAAATACTTCCTGTCATATTCAAGGTATATTTAATTTTGATTTATTGGTTATAATTAAAGTTTAATGGTTAAAAAGCGTTATTTTACTGTAATCTTATCAGTCTTGACCAACACGGAAGATACAAGTTAATTGTTTGCAGCTTACAATTATGTATCGCTATGTCAGTAATTTCTGAGTATTAACAACTGACAAGGAACTGCATATGTACAAAAAGACATAAAGATACCATATTCACATGACAATATAATCATGTACCACGTACGCATGCACGTGTATATAAATGCCACCAAGTTTATATTGCAGTGGACCATAATGAGTAACAAATAGCAATGGAGTTTGGAAGTGTTGATACAAGTGAAGCTACGAAATCAAACCTGTGTTATTGCACTGCTGAACTTCCTGTTTTGAATGTGAATTCAATGACAACACAATCCACTTCTTAGATACAATAATGTGTTTGATTATTGAGGAAACACATCTCTACTAAGAGAAGCTTACACATACTTGTGTTCCTTAGAATGAATAATCTTGCTCATGATAAAATTTGTGGGGTGGATATTCTTTTATAATTTGTCTGGCTAAGATTTTAGATAGCTCTCTAGTTTGCTTGTGACTTTTCTAAATTACATCGAATGTGTATGAATTTGGATTATGATGATTAAGATGTGTATACATGTATAACAACAACTTTCAAAATAAGACTTAGCTGAATATTTAAATTTCATTGATACTTGCATTAGCAAAATTATGAATACATTATTGAAAGTGAAATCATTTCAACATTTTTTTTATTTGTAGATGAAAACATATCATGATGATAAAAACTGCCTTACACTTGTGGGAAGGTCGTAACCAATTGATGGTTTGGATGCCTGATGTGATTGCATGCTAGCTGGTGATGGTGGACCGTGTCGCTCAGAGTGCCTCCTCCCGTATCCCCGTGCCAGTCAGGGCCACAGGCCACACACTGGCTAACAACAAGGTCAAACAGTTGACAAAAGAACAGCCCAAGCACATATTTCAGGAAAATGGACTGGTGGACACACATTCCAAGATTGAAGAGACCAGCTCCAAGGAAAACAACACCAAGAAAGACAAGGGTTTTGAAACTTTTGTCATGACAGGTGACATGATAATTCGGACCACACAGAAAACTAGAGACAAGGGCAACAGAAGCACATCTGACAGCACTGACACCAGCGACACAGCTGACCTGAGCGACATAGGTATACACACCAATGCTGTTTTTATAGAGGAAAAAGGCATTCAAGAGTATACAGAGGGTACCACTCTCACTAAAGACAATCAACGGTCTGCAGAGTCTGGTTTTGAGGATCAGGATTCAGGGACATTAGAAAGAGACAGGAGTCAAGCCACTGAGCCCAACAGTGTATCAGACTTGTCTTTGATAAGTTCTGAGGACTTGGCAGACATGACGCGATCACAGTCCTCAGCTGCAAGTACATCAGTTTCATCTGTCTCAACGCCTTCTGATATCAAGTCTGACATATCGGAACAGACAGTGCTACAGTGTATTTTAGGGCCAAACGGTCATTCTTCTGATCCACTTATTTCTCCAGAAACTGATCCAGCAAACAAAGATAGTGATACTTATAGTTCTAGTGAGAATGTGAAGGATTATAGTGAATCAGAAAAGGACACAGATTATTCTAAGATGGTGACCAGTAAAAGTGCCGAAAAGTTTGTGCAAATAAAGGGCGGCAGTCATCAGAGTGTACGTCCTAGCAAAAGTCAAGAGCTCCAATCTGAGTTCTCTCTAGTGACCATAGATATAGACGAAGATAATAAGGCATATTCCTTAGATCAAATACCACAACATGGCACTGCCAATTCAACAGCTTCACTGGAAGGAATTGGGGAGGGAGATGCTTTGGTGACCTCCAGAAGTCTTGACAGTTCTCCGGAACACAAGGCAGACCGGTGCCATGATAAGGAGTTCATACCTGGATTTATAACACTAGCGGATGAGCCAAATATGAAGAAAGCCAAAACCAAAGAGGATAATGAAATGTTTGGTGATGGTGCTGCAAACAATAATTCTCTAGAGGACTCGCAAAATAATGACAATGGTGAGCGAGATAATGGAAAGGCCCAAAGATATTCGTTAGACCCATCCCTAGATCCCAATCTCTTAGACTATCAACCTCTTGCTAAGGGTGTTGATAGACCATCAGCACAGCGGCTTGCCAAACGACTGTATAACTTGGATGGATTCAAAAAATCGGATGTGTCAAGGCATCTAAGTAAGAAGTAAGTGTTTATACCTGTACGCTACCACTTGTAAACTTATCGACATACGTAAGTACTGATTGTGATTATTCCTGTATATATATACACATATAGAGATGATATAACTAGTATAGCAGCAATAGCTTCACTTCTCTTACATTTAATACCTGGTAATGATAAATCTAAAACAAGTCTTTGTTATGAGGGCTGTTTCCATACCCCCATGGTTTATAATATTGTTTTATGTAGACATTATTTGCTATACATTATATTGGCTGGTTACGTTTTGCCTAGAGATAATGAAGTTATGGTAAGTGCCAAGTTTAATGTTTTGTTGTTCCTCTTTGCAGAAATGATTTTGGTGCATTAGTATCAGAAGAGTACCTCAAGTTTTTTCATTTTGAAAAGAAGACACTTGATCAGGCTCTGAGGATGTTCCTGTTACAGTTCTGTCTGATAGGGGAGACACAAGAGAGGGAACGGGTGCTAGCTCACTTCTCCAAGCGATACATTGAAAGCAACCAAGGCGTTTATAATTCTGAAGGTAATTGAATCAATTAGAGTTTCGTTTAATACAGTCATAACCACAGAGCTAGTAAATTTTTAGACAGCAAATGGTTAAATGTTTTTGATTTTGTTTGTGTGCAAGGCTCAATATTGGGCTTTGCCCGACTGGCCGGGCCAGATATACATTGTATGACCCCATGTCGGGCAACCTAAATGTCTGGGTACTTGAAAAATATATAGTGTGTTCATTACAAATCTTTCTGAATCAATAGGATACTATTATTATTAAAGATATCAAAGAAGTTGTCCAAACATATCAATTGAAGTTTTATTTGTCCTTCCCATCTTGTCTTGCCTTATATATATATGTGTCATGAGGAAAGACTGTTTGAGGTTATTACGACAATCCATATGCTAGTACAGTCCATTAGTGTTGCATATCACGAGGAGATATAGGTACAAAACGTCAAACCAATGATGTTGATGTAAGTTCTTGTGTATTGGTATCAATGATGATAATGTAAGTTCTTGTGTATTGGTATCAATGATGATAATGTAAGTTCTTGTGTATTGGTATCAATGATGATAATGTAAGTTCTTGTGTATTGGTATCAATGATGATAATGTAAGTTCTTGTGTATTGGTATCAATGATGATAATGTAAGTTCTTGTGTATTGGTATCAATGATGATAATGTAAGTTCTTGTGTATTGGTATCAATGATGATAATGTAAGTTCTTGTGTATTGGTATCAATGATGATAATGTAAGTTCTTGTGTATTGGTATCAATGATGATAATGTAAGTTCTTGTGTATTGGTATCAATGATGATAATGTAAGTTCTTGTGTATTGGTATCAATGATGATAATGTAAGTTCTTGTGTATTGGTATCAATGATGATAATGTAAGTTCTTGTGTATTGGTATCAATGATGATAATGTAAGTTCTTGTGTATTGGTATCAATGATGATAATGTAAGTTCTTGTGTATTGGTATCAATGATGATAATGTAAGTTCTTGTGTATTGGTATCAATGATGATAATGTAAGTTCTTGTGTATTGGTATCAATGATGTTAATGTAAGTTCTTGTGTATTGGTAGCAATGATGATAATGTCAGTTCTTGTGTATTGGTAGCAAGCAATAATTTTTTGTTGAAATTCAGGCCTTGTGTTTTGATGGCCATACCGTGAATATTTCTGGAGCACCGAGTCTCCGAGAAGTCTGCTGATCTTTTAGTTATGGCGGTGACATGTCAACAACTTTCTTTTATTAAATATAATTAGCCAATGATTCAGAATTTCAGGAAATATTTGCTTGTTTGGTGCTGTTTTATGGCTCATCAACAATTTAAATCATTTTTGGGCAACAGTACTACAGACAATCAAATGTACAAGCATGCATGAAGTTCAAACCAAACTAAAACTTCTCCAATTTTAATGCTAATTGACTAACAAATCAAGAGTGGATTTTTGCAAGTGAGATTTGGTTTCAACTAGCTCAACAGGTAGGTGTAATTATAAGTACACTTAAAAGTTAATATGGAGCCCTAGTTTGTGTTGGGGGTGGGTGTCGGCTTAACCGCAAAAATGTCTGTAGGATGTCCATGGATACTATATGTTATTTGTTTCATATTTTGCAGATGCCTGTCATACGCTTACCTGTGCTATTATGTTACTGAACACAGACCTTCATGGCCAGGTACGGTTTTCACATGATCTTTTCTCTAATGTTTCATTGACAAATTCTGAACAGGCATAAATCATGTTTGTTATTTGCATTTATATGTAATGCCTCATTTTGCATTGTAGATATATATATATATATATCCTCACCCTTCTATTGAAGCACTTTATAATGGGGCAAATTTTCTTTATTACACAAAATCAGATATCGACAGGAATTATGATAAATGATCCTCACATCACAGGAAAACAAGTCATCTTAAATCATCTAATTATAAATAGTTATAACCATTTCAAGGGTGTTCAATTTCATATTTAGGGTACTAGTGCAAAAGCTCATTTGAAAAATATCTACCAGTCTGACCTTATCTTGTAATAAATATTAAAATTTTTCACAAGCCCTGACACAAATGTAATAGTCTGAGTGGTGGGTGGGTGGGTGGGAAAAAACCCATTTATAGGCAAAGAAACAACCTTATTTTTCTAAAACCACAAATGAATATTTTTTCCATGAGGCCCTTATATTATTGACCAGGCAGTTTTCCAGTGTTGATTTAAAATGTATATTGAGTGCATGTGAGGGCCATAGGGAAATGAGCATGATCTAAATATCTACCCTTCAAAAAATAATACTGTTAACATTTTAATATCTTTTTTGTGTCTATTGTGCACAGACACGCTAACGCTTAATTAACATTTTATATTCTGGCTGTGACTCTGCACAGAGCTGCTAATTATGTGTTCTATAAATTGCATTAAGGATTTGATTTTTATCACTTCAAAAATGTTGATTAGCAATGCTGATGGGGTTCATTATATCATAAAATTAAAATGAATTTTCATCTGCTTCTGTGATCTATTAGTTATACTTAAATTATTATTGCAGCAATATTTTACTAGAGAAAAAAGTAATCTGTATTGAAGGGCACCACTTTCTGATGTGTACACTGTCCAACAATCTCTAAACTGGTGGTAGAGTCAGATGATTGTGAGGTTACTTCTAATCTTCAACAGATATTGTGAGATTTTGACACTGTTGTTTCATTGATTTATATCCAATTTGTATTGCAGAGTATTGGCAGGAAGATGACATGTTCTGAGTTTATAGAAAATCTGGCAGAGCTCAATGATGGTGACAATTTTCCAAAAGATCTGCTGAAAATTATCTACCAAAACATCAAGGCTGAGCCTATTGAGTGGGCGGTGTAAGTAAATTACCTACGAAAACATTAACTCTGAACTTATTGAGTATGCAGTGTAAGTAAGTTATGTACAAAAATAGCTTGGCCAGTTGAGTAACAGTGTACTCAGGTAAGTAAATGATCTGCTGGTAACCAGCCATCAAAACCAGACCTATTGAATGGGAGACATAAACTGTTAATACACAGGGTAACCTATTAAACTGAACACTACGATCTAGAAACCTTTTTAATCTAGTCTTAAACAGGCCTTCATATTTTCAAAAGGTATCTATGCATCAGGCAGTCGTATGTAAAGAGTTACAGACTGCTTCAACAAGACATTCACACTACTGTGTATTTTCAGTGGCCTTTTTGTTGATTCAGAACTACCAGAAGTGTAGAAATGTCCACACTTGGTGATTCAATAAGACTGCCTAATGTTGCTTATGTTACAGGATGTAAACTTTGAGTTATGTCCCCTATTTATAGAAGTTATGCCCCTTTGTTTAATCCATGTTCTTGAAAGACTATTCCTACAGTTCTTGGCACATGCAGGCCTTATTAATCTGCCATTCTGGCAAGAGTATAACTATAAATCAATCTTGTTTTTGCAAACAGGACATGTACCTGATAATCTTGGTATTGCATAAAAATGTTGGAAATACTAGATTGATTAAAGATGGGATATGATACCCCTTCTAAGTGGAGGATTTAATTGGGGAATATAGGACTTCATTCGCGTATCCAGTTGAAAGGGTTGAACCTGTAAAGGAAAGGGTTGAACCTGTAAAGGAAAGGGTTTAACCTGTAAAGGAAAGGGGTTGAACCTGTAAAGGAAAGAGTTGAACCTATAAAGGAAAGGGTTGAACCTGTAAAGGAAAGGGCTGAACCTGTAAAGGAAAGGGTTGAACCTGTAAAGAAAAGGGTTAAACCTGTAAAGGAAAGGGTTGAACCTGTAAAGGAAACGACAGGTATAGATTTGGACCGAGGCTGACCTCAGGAAAATTTGGTACGTGTAGATTGAGGGGTCCAGACGTACCTGACCGAAACTAAAATGCTGACTATTGCATGCCAATTTGCGTTATTTCTTTTTTAAACAATGTCAAGTCACATTTAGTCTTTAAGATACGTTATGGAATTTAGTGGACGGATGAAAGAAGGGCATATTATTCTTGATACATTGTTTTTTATTCTCCGAAAATGTGCATTTTTAGCCCTGCTTGTAGAACTGTCCAAGTGCATTCGTTTATCGTGGAAAATTTCTGCGCCACACGTCCCGTTGCAACCAGGATACGCGATTATATACCCTAGTAGTCATTTTGTTATTATGTTCATCTGTGCTTTCCATAAAAGCTTGTGAATCCCTTAACAGATTAATTATATGTTTACACTGTACAGTAGTCTGTTAACATAATAGTCTACATTTACGGATAATCGGCCAAATTGGGACCTGATCACTTTCGTAGTTAATTAATACAAATTATGGTGAAAAGCTTGTTATTCTTATAATCTACCAGAATCTGGAAATCGCAAGGTCATATTTAAGATGAAGTGTCAATTTATTGTGTAGTTTTTGTAGAACTTTCACTCCATTTGGCATATAACCAAAAAATCACTACATTCAAAATATCCTGCCTGATACACAGTAAAGGTTGGCAGACCTGTAAATTTTAATGTAAGCATTGATGGGTCTTGCCAAGGGTTACCAGGAAGCGACATCAAATGATAAGGTCTGTTCCTATTTTTAGGTCATCTGAGCATTGCTCAAGTGACCTATTCCGATCACTTTCTGTCCGTCGTCGTCCGTCATGCGTAAACTTTTCAACTTCTCAAGAACCAGTGGATGGAATTTTTTCAAACTTGGTCAGAATCATCCTTGGTAGATGAGACTACAAAATTGTAAAGTTGGGATTCCTACCCCAACCCAAGGGGCCAGGGTGCGGGGCCTCAAAGGGAAAATTAACCAATATTTCAAAAATCTTCTTCTCTAGACTCAGAGGTACTACAGTCATTTTCAGTGCATGGATAGATAGATCATCAGGAGCTTTATTGAAATTGTTAATTTTAGGACCCCTGAATTATCCGTTCTCCCTTGGGGAGGGGGTAAAGTTAACTATAGTTTATATAAGGAAATAACACTTTTGGGTATATTTTATCCATTTTCAGCAGAAAATTATTCAAACTTGGTCAGAATCATCTTTGTTGGATGAGGGTATTACATTGTAAAAATGGAATTCCTACCCTATCCCCAGGGGCTAGGGCATGGCCCCAAAGGGAACATTTACCAATATTTAAAAATTCTTACCCTTTGATGACATGACAAGTATTGTATTTCACTTAGTTTACATGCTGATTTCCACATCACATCTAAACAATAAAATAAAGCTACCAGTACCTATGCTATAACAGCTAAGGCCCTTGGGCCTCTTGTCTTTTAAATAAATAACTCTGGTCCAACTGGTAAAATAGTTTGGAATGCATCAAGCAAATGGCATCATTTAGGAGAAAAAACTTAGGTTCTACACTTCTAATGGTTGTAGTCTTCACCTTGTATTTTTACAGTGATGATGACCACGAGGAGGATCACAGTCAGACAGAGGACCGTAATGCCGCAACACTAACAAACATGTCAGCACCAGCCTTAGGCGGGAACCCTTTCCTAGGTGTAAGTCTTCTCAGGGAATAAATATAGAGCAATTCATACCAAAGGGTTTTGACAAGTTCAGATTTCTGTAACATATTTAGGAACAGAATGTCCAAAGGAAGAAATGTAACATTGATTTTAAGATTTTTCAAACTTACAGAGAGGTCTTTTCTCTATTATCAGTAGTAAATGAAGCGTGGCCATTGTGCCTAATTATATGTCTAAAATGTACCTTAATTTAATGTTTGTGCCATGTTACAAGGCACCTGATCCAGACAAAGCAACTGAATACAAAAATGGCTATGTGATGAGGAAGTGTTGTTTGGAAGCAGATAGGAGAAGAAGTAAGTGGTTTATAAAAAAAAAATGTAAATCTGCTCAAGTTAGAATTTCTTTTTGTTTGTGTCAAGAAAATATTGTTAAGTACAAATATTACGACATATTCAATAGTTGAAACAATTTTATTCTGTTAGATGTTTATGGTACATATATAACGAATGATATGTATCTGTAAATGTGTGATTTATCCTTGTCATTTTGTATTATCTCTGTATCAATGCTATTTATTTTAATCTTACTATTGTTAACTGAATAAGTTTGATCATGTACAGCGCCGTTGGGAAAGAGAGGATGGAAGATGTACTATGTCTCTCTGCGTGATTTGATATTCTACCTCTACAAGGACCAACATGGAATGAAGAAAGGACAGCTCATACAGGGCTCCAACAATGCCATACGTATCCACCACTGCCTTGCCTCCAAGGCTGCTGACTACATAAAGAAGCAGCACGTCTTCAGGCTTAGCACTGCAGACGGGGCAGAATATCTGTTTCAAACAAGGTAATTAAGGTTAAGAATAAAAATCAAAAGTATATTGATAAACAGATTAACTTGCAAAATTTTGACAAGTGAATAAATGGCTTTCATCGATGTAGAACTACTTCTGTGAAATTTCAATAAACAATGTCAACACAATGTATACACTGCATTGGAGTAAGTATTGATCAGAAATATTTACACTGCAGTGGAATAAGTGAGTATGAAATGTCTTCACTCCAGTGGAATAAGTGAGTATAAAATGTCTACACTGCAGTGGAATAAGTGAGTATAAAGTGTCTACACTCCAGTGGAATAAGTGAGTATAAATATCTACACTGCAGTGGAATAAGTGAGTATAAAATGTTTAAATTGAATTAAAGTAAGTATTTGTAAAAAAAAACTGATCAAAGTTCACTGGGTAAAGTAAGTTAACATGTCTACACCCAATGTGTAATAGTACATAGCAGTAAATTGTATACTGTGTCCTTCTGACTTCAGTGACAGTCGTGAACTCCAGGAATGGATTGAGACCATCAATTATGTGTCAGCTAGCCTTTCCTCCCCACAACTGCCTGGAGCTGTGGGCTCACAAAAGAAGTTCCAGAGACCCTTGTTACCAGCGGCTTACACCAGATTTAATCTGGTAGGTTCACTGGAATGGTTGTTACATAAATATAACAAAATGAAAATTTTACTGAAATGTCGCCATTGTTACTTAGATTTACAATTACCTAGCCATAAAGAGACAAATGCACTCATGCTACCTTGATTGCCCAGGAGTCCTAAAAGCCCATTGGAACTAAGTCATTAAGTTATAACTTGAAAATGATTAAATCCCCATCCATAAACCATATGCAATTTCTGGGTATGAAGCCGGGCTGAGCCCAAAACAGGGTAATTTTGTGTGTATTTGAAAGTCTTCTTCTCCTGAACAGTTGATCATATTTCAAACAAACATTCTTTGGACCATGGAATAAAATGTATAAAGGAAATTTGTTGTATATCTGGATGCTGAGAGACGCATCAAAAATTTGAAAATAGTTGCTATATAATATGTAATATGAATGATTTGCCATCGTTGCTTAAACATAGCCATAATTGAAATTGGCCAATTGGGCCTCCTTATTCTTGGGACTCAAACTGTAGATGTCTGCCTATTTTATTGTGATGATTTTAGAAATTTATTTGGTTATTTCTGTAGCACGATCAGCTACAGCGTCATGAAGCCATGTGTGACCAGGTGGAGATTGACCTCCAGGATCATCGCCAGTTTCCCCCAGAAAAGGGGGCCAAGTCCCGCCTTATACAAGACTATTTGGAAAAGGAAAGCTTCCTGGAGAGTGAGGTAACTGATGACTATTCTCAGCTCCTACTGTTAATTGAGCCCACCATCATCAGACCCTTAGGCCTTTAGTTTATTAGCTCACCTGGCACGAAGTGCCAAGTGAGCTTATGCCATGGTGCGGCGTCCGTCGTCCGTCCGTCCAGCGTCCGGTGTCCGGCGTCAATATTTTACTTTAAACGACTTCTTCTTAATAACCGAAAGGCCTAGGGTGTCGATATTTGACCAGAAGCAAACTTGGATAAAGGGCTACAAAATTTGTTAAAATTAATGACCTTCACCTATTTTCAAGGTCACAGGGGTCAAATATGTCAAAAACTTTAAACATCTTCTTCTCAATAACCAAAGTGCTCAGGGAGATGATATTTGGCCATGAGCATGCTTTGGTGAAGGGCTACCAAGTTTGTTCAAATGAATGACCTTCAACTATATTCAAGGTCACAGGGGTCAATTGTATTAAAAAACTTTTAAACAACTTCTTCTCAATAACCAAAATGACCTGGGTGATGATATTTGGCCAGTAGCTAGCTGAGATGAAGGGCTACAAAGTTTGTTCAAATGAATGACCTTCACCCATATTCAAGGTCACAGGGGTCAAATATGTTTAAAAACTTTAAACAACTTCTTCTGAATAACCAAAATGCCCAGGGT